GGTTTTAAATGCAATTAACGAAGGGCGCACCAGGACATGTTCAAATGTAGTTCGTCATACTTCCCAAAGTGTAACTCGGTAAACTTCTTTAAACTGCTTCAAGTATTCACGCACGTAAATCGTATGCACGCGACGGCGAGCAACTTTCTTTCGCCAAAGGCGAACCTTTAAACCATCCACCACCTCGACACCCCCTTGCACCACTTAATACCAAATTCTCATTTGTACCATTTGACAAAACTTCGTTAGGGAAATCAGCAAATCGTCGACCGTGTTTTTGGAAACAAGACGACTGAGAAATTTGGCATAGTTACTTAAATCGAATTCTTGTACGGCAAAAGTACGTGTGGCAGTATACTCTGATGATAAATATCTTTCGATTAAAACATTCCGAATGTAAAATGATTCGAATTAAACTTTCAATTACATAATACCATTGGTTTAAGTATGTTTCGAAACGAAAACTTATGCACACTATATTATATTGAATTCAAAGCAAATTGGGATGTATGAAATAGGTATTACGGCCGTATTTTTATTTCTATAATTTATTTTAGACGTTTTTAAATTTATCAATAGAAAATACAATTTAATCGTGGCTGTAATACATAAAATAAAAACAATTGTTATTGTTATGATAATATATAACTACTTGTGTTATCGTTATACTGGTATTGTTTGAAAACATCAAATCGTGAAGACGCTGAAATGCTGTTCATACATTTGGAGGTTTTTATTTTATTTTTTTTTAGAGAATGCTATTTGTCCCGTTAATAGTGAAAATTAGAATTAACATTTGAATAGTACTGTAAGATTTGTTAAACAAATATAGGTATTGTTAAAATACAATGGGAACATGATAAAATGTTCGTACAAAGGGCTCGGACTAATGGGCGAGTTTAATAATAATAATAACAACAATAATTTCTACTTTATTCAAATACCAATATAATATAATGAATGTCAAAAATTCACCCTCCGGATTAAATTCCACTTATGTACTGCAGTGCGCTCGAGCAATGAAGAGTGGAAAAGAAGCCGGGTCGAGGTACTGTACATTGAATGAATTCGCTAGATAAATGCTTATGATATATTTATTTGAAGGCGATTAATAAAATATAAACATTATGTTAATTTTACTCATACGGTCTCAGTTCTGATTTCTAATTGTTTTCAATTTTCTATGAAAATTATGATTTAAATATCAAATTATATATTAACTACGAAATTTCAATATTTTTTTTCGATTACTTGTGTGTTTGTGTAATCAGATTAGCAATACTTAAAAATGGCAAAAAAGTTCTAATTAATATTGGCCAATGGTATAAGGTTATTAAAAATCGAACATTGATTTTGTCGTGGAAAAAAATAATACTAAAATACTATTATAACATCAAAAAAGTTTCACTCAGAACTATCAAGTTTATTAAAGGTACTTATACTCCGTATATATTTAGGTAGAAGGTGGTATTAGGTACTATAAAAATATATGATGTATTAAGACAATAGTTTTCATGAACCCGTATAAGTGAATTATTGAACTCTTATGGTCTTATATTTTTATTTATTTTGAAATTCGATCCTTTTGGAATTAAAGAAAAAATTAAAGAAATAAGTTTGCTATATTCTTCCGATGCAATAATCAACGTGATTATCGAAATCGAAGAATCGATAACATGTGCAAAAAATTATCGATATCGATACCGTATAATTACCGATTATGGTCGGCTTACATTAATGGAGTTGGGCGTGGATAATGTCGTCGCCTTATCCATAAACGGTTTGGTATTGCGAAATGGCGGAGAAAGAAGACTGAATGTTCGTGCTTAAATTGTATGACCTCAAGCGATTCACATGTATGCGTATATACATAAATGTATCAAGTGAATGATGGACACGGTGATGAGGTCGTTATAATATCTCTGGCAGAGGAAGGGGGTATAAGAGAGAGAGAGAGAGAGAGAGAGAGAGAGAGAGATAGAGAGAATGAGAGAGAGCGAAGGAGGTTTAAATGTTTAAAGACTTATTGGTCGTTTTATGGATTTTCGGTAACATTCCACCACCCGACATTGTGTTGGCTGTAATTCCAAAAGGGTTGACCGTATAAAATATTACTGTGTGCTGCAGAGTGCGAGCGTCCATCAAAGTATCAGCGTATTGGGATCATTATACGTCCGTTGCGCTGCTGGCGCATCGCTGTTGGCCGACCATAAGTTATTATTTTAATTACGATTTATAGTTCGGACCGATGCGACGGATGCTACGTACTCTGGGGATTTAAACTTGTTTAGAAAAAACACTACGAGAACGGTATACGGGGTATTATACTGCAGCAGTAACGTTGTTGTTATTAATTTTTTTTTTTGCTTCTGGACGAATTTAATTCAATAAAAGTACAAAATAAATGGCTTTAGGTGAGCGAAAAGTCGGATTTTTCTTTATCATTATTTCATGAGTACATTTTTTCGTTTTTGTTCATTTTTTTTAGAACATGTATAATGTAATATTAATAACGATGAATGAGACCAACTTTTGCAATTTATGACCTTTGACCCTTTTGCCGTACACACGCACGTATAAATACTGAAATTTTCATCTCCCACTCCTTGCATCTGTACCACCAAACGAGGTTAAGCAGGACACGTGATTTATGCCTAGCAATTACATGCGGTCAAAGGCTCACCGGGTCTGGGAATGCAATTAGGTTGCACCGTTGATGTACGACCTCGAAGCGAGAATTTTGAAGATTTTAATTTGCCACAATTGCTTCCTTGTGTAAATGAGAGCACCGTTAATTTTGGGATGTTCTGTCGACTTGAAATTAGTTCAGAACGACTGGAATATCTACTCTTTTCCCCATCTTTCCTCTCGGCTTTCCAAAGGCTCCCCTATTACTTGTTGTTCCCCGTCCCTTTTTAGGCATTTTTTTTTTTTAACTCAGAAGTTATTAGCATTAATAACTCTTTAAATATCCCCTCAGGTAAATAAATAATTTCCTTAAAACAATTCCCAACGAAAAGCAACGAGGATATTAAAACAAAAGCGGATATTAAAAAATATTAGTTACACTTACTTTTTTTTTTTTTTAATCATGAAAATATATTTGAAAATTTGACCACAAAAATAAATAAAACAAAAAAAACTTTAATTTAAATAATTTGACAAGAAAATGGCATTTTTTTGGCATTTTTTACGAAACGCATTTTGTTTATAATGTTTAATAAAACAAAATTTATACGGGCATCATGTGTCAGTCTGTTTTCAGTTCTTTTTTCCAATATTCGTATCAGAAAATAACATGGGGCTCATAACATGCTATTTGTAATAATAGCTATTTATTTTTCATTTTACTCAAAAGCATATAAATAATGTTTGCATTTGTTTACTATTTCATCACAAGGGGGAAATATCATATTAGGTAAATAGTGTAAAACACAATACAACCCTAATGGCTTCAAAAGTTATTACAAACATGTTATTTGTTTATTTATTTATGTATAAAAACGCACACAAAAAACAAAATATTTGTTTAGAATTTATTTGATATAAAGTATAAACAATCGTACATATTTGGTGATTGTCTTACGAATATATCTATTATTAAGTGTTTTAATAACAAAAATAGAAATACTGAGAATACTTTGTGTGCATCTATACATAAAATACCAATATTTAATTTGTTCCTTATTTCATAGACTTGATTTAATCCTTTTAATTTTATGAAATCGTTACGAACAATATTTTTTTTTTTTAATTTTTAATCAACTCAAACGTATAATATGACGGCAAAGACGTTAAATAAGTTAATGCTGACAGAAATTATTAATTTAATTTCTTGCTCAATACCCGCTTAATCATTAAGGTTTTAAGATATCTTAATTGTAAATGTAGATACTACTAAGAGGCTACGATATTTTCTCGGTAACATTATTGTTACAACATATAATTCATTAAAATGGAAACAGCTGAATTGATTAATATCGACTACTAGATTCTACAATTAAAGTATATATAAAATATGTATTATACGCAGAACAGTAATTTGACGAAGATTCGGAAATAGAATTTATCAGTAATATTCGATTATTACCAGTTTATTAATCTTTTAAGGATATTTTAAGTATCTTGTACAACTGAAGCATTAATTGAATGATTGGAAATATTTTTAACATTCATAAGAGAGAATCACTCGAAATAATTGCATATTATAATCTTTTCCAAGCGCGTTGCGGTACAATCGATTAATTAATTAATCAATATTAAAATATACATATTTGTACGGATAACAGTTTATAAGTTATTATTTTTAAACAATAATTATAGCAATATAAAACAAAATTAAATCAATAATGGATCTTAAGAAAAATAATGAATTCAAAAATAAAAGCAGTGAGAGCGGTGTTACATTTATGTTACACTTTGAATATATTTAATTCATCGAGTGCAGTTAGTGAACCATATGGATTACCTTGTTTGGTATACATATGCTATGGTGAAACTAGGGGGATAAAGACGGGATTTAATCCTAGGGCGTAATTTTTATAGTATATAATCTGTAATCGACTAATAGTTTGATGTTTTTAATATAATTACTGATAATGTGTCTAAAACTTAATCGGTACGATTGTATGGATAATTATAAGAAGAAAAAAATGTTAGGGAAGGGTATTCGATTGTTGATATCGGTACACGCATTCGATGGTAGAGTCGTGCGAGTTACCGATTCACGTGCATGTGATCATGCATGATGTGCACGGGTCGAAACTCATGACCAAATTAAAGTGAAACAATCATACGGAGCTTGACCGTATCGGATCAATCAGGTAATACGATCGCACGCAAGGATTGTCCCTGATGTCTCGTGCGCGCATCGTTCCGGACTCGATCGGTGATCACGACGATCGTCGTTTCCAACAGTTATAATCTAATATACTTATTACGCAATAACGTAGGAACGCGATTGTGCAGGTGAACGTTACTGTATTTTCTTGTGTACATACCTTGCAGCTGGAGTGGCTGATGTTGCTCAGGTTCAGCCGGAACACGTGGTCCCTGAAAATCAAATCAACCGACGTTATTAATTAGTTAACGGATCGTTCGTTTGGAGGATTGCAAGGGTGGTCGGGCGGAGGGGATGCGCGAGGACTAAAGTGATTAGCGCTGCAATAGACAAGGGACCGTCACTGTTTAGACAATCCGAAAGTTTTCGGGATCGCGCAGTGAACTGTCAAGGCAGCAGCGGAACGCTAACTCTCGAACACGCAGACGTGCACGCTCGTGTATACGCGGACTCTGCGTGTCGGGTAACGGCCGGGCACGACGAACAAGAGGGAAATGATTAAACTTTAGAATTAATTCAGGATCGAAATGTACGCACGTATATGTATATAATTATAATACACCGATTTTAGAGAGGATGCTGCAATTGAACATGTGCTGTTGAGTTAATTATTATACACATACACGCATACACGCAGAGCTAATGTTCGCTGGAATACTTGCTGTTTGTGGGAACAACGCACACGTCACCGTCAAGACGATAACTATTGTTGTGCGCAATGACGACGACAACCCATGATGATAATAGTGATAATAACGCGTACAGCCGAAACGTGGAGCACATATCACGGAAGTTTTCAGCTATGATCAAACTGCCGAATACCAAAATCGCATTATGCAAGCGCGCCGGAAATATTATAATATTACGTAGATACGTTTACAGTAGTCCTAACTACAGCGCTCCGTCCTAACATCAAGTCTGCACCAATTGTCGGCGAAACAATGCGAGGCGATGTGATTTCGATGCTACCATGCGTCCCGGATCTCGCAGTGGCGGATCTGGAGTAATATTTTGCATGAGGATTGGAGGTGTGATAAGAATAAACTAGACAAAAAAAACATTGTTGAACACTTTCCTATGATAAAATGGTTAAAAGAGAGTCGCGAAGGGCTTATCGTTCGCCACGTTGACGCATCCAGAACCGAGTATTTTTACCTCGAGTTCACGGCTTTTATTTCATATGTACAAATTATCGTCACTTACTTAAGTTAAGTGCGATTATATGCGTGAGTTTTTCTCTAAAGTCGTCAATCTCCGGAAATACAAAAAGCAAATTATACTTTTAGCACGAGCAGAAAATGTATTCGAAAAATGAGTGAAAGGTAGAATTATTTTAAGCCCTTCCCAAAGGATTCAAGTGTTGTCCCCATACCTTTCCATTCTCCTGTTTATCAATGTAACGCTCATATATGATGACTGGAGGCAAAGAAAAGTAACGTCTGCCTCTCTTCCGGATCAGCCACTTACTGTGCCCGAGGTTTACCGCGACAAGTCAGAATGACTTACATACTCATCATATATACTCGTACATCACTGTGAATGCGAGTATTTTCAATTTTCTCTTTTGGAATTTATTGTCTTGGGATGAGGGACGATTTTACACTCTCATACGATATTGCAGTGCTCGAGCAAATAACATGCATCCTGCTTAAAACTATACAGATGTCTTTGTGCACACGATTACGACTCTGAATATTTATGCAATGTTGTATTATGCAAAACACCAAAATGATTCTACATGCGTAAAAGTACAAATATTTCGCGAACGAGACGTTTGATTTGTGTTTTTGAAATAAAATTTAGTTTCGCGACGAATTCGCATTTGTGTTTTCAGTGTTTGCATATGCTCCGTGAAATGCTCCAAAAGTTTCTTATACACTCCTTCCTCCTCTTCACAACTGCAGATCGGAAATTTAACTTAAAAGGTTTTTCTATGGAAACATAAGAGATTTTTTTGAATTTCTTCAGCACTCGAAGTAATCAATTGTTTTCTCGAATACGAATCAAAATATCAGTATCGTTAATTTTTTTCATTCCAAGAATGTGTATGATAAAACTTATGATTTTGACTTTTTATTGTTTTTTTTTTTTTTTATTCGACAGGTTTAGGAAGAATTCACTCACAATCATAACCACTTTTTGTGAACATATAACATTGATCTCAAAGTTATAACAATAAAGTATTCAAATTTTATATTCTAAAACATCTCGATTTAGTTTTGCTTTCATATGAATGCATAAGTACTACAAAATGTTACAAAATTAATTTACCTTAAATTTAAACACTATGTATTCATTATATGTTCATCATGATTTCTACCGAATTTAAATTAAATATATATATATATATAAATAAAATAAAAAGAGAAAAAACAAGGATAAAATTCTACCCCTAGACTACAGTTTAAGCTTGTGTTTCCCTCGACAGAATGTAATTTTTTTTCGCCAAACATTTATTTTACGTCCAGGGGAACTAAACGCAGTACAGTCGTAATCGTCTCGCTCGACCACGCAGGGACCCACAGAGATCGATACCTTCGCAGATTACCATTACGAACAAACATAAACGACGAGTACATCTACCACGGAGCCTCGGCGTTAACTTTTTATTTAATTATAAATTTTTCGCCTACCCAGCCGAGCGGTAATTTCATCTCGAGAGCGGTATTCTAGTGGGTGTCGTGTCGTAGACGGCGTGGCGTGTGCAAATTGACGGGGAATTTTTCGATCCAATAATTCGGCGAGGGGCGAAGAGAGCGGCGGCGACTTTTTAAAAACAGCCTTTAGAATGTCATAACGAAACGGAGTATAAATCAGCTGCAGACCCCCACGACTAGCTCACCCCGGTCGGTGTACACGTATAGATATACGTACGGTATTCTTCTGCAGCGACGAGAGATCGAACCGGAACGCGCCAATCGTCGTGACACTGGAGGGAAAGACCGGGGGGAGAGGGGCTGTTTAATTTCACGGTTCGACTGGCAAACTCTATGCACTACAAATACTATATACATATACTCGTAATACACTAGTGTGCGTGCTGGTTTATACGTGTGTGTGTGTGACTTGGTTTTCAGTTCGCAGAGCAAATACACACGGGATGCGGCAATGGTGATCCGCGTAGTTAGCGGTAGGAAGTGTAGCGTTGGGGGTTGATACCGCGGTCACAGCGTGCGGTTTGTTTTTTATTTTCGTCTTTTCGCGACCCGTCGTCGTTGAGTGCGAAGAACAGAGTCTAATGTAATGTCGTCGATATGCGCGTGCACATGAATTAATAGACTTGGCCTTAAATCTCGCGCTTTAATCGACACCAACGACGAGGGTGACAACGTGTCAGGACGACGTGCACGCAGGTACTCACTTTAATGACAGTCAATGAATGTATTCCACCCAGTCCCGTCGTCACGAAAAGTGTGTACATATAATAATACGTCATAATAACTAAAAGTAGGGGTCGTTTTAAGGGGCTACGGGCCTCCAAGCCAAGTTCTAGAAAATCGTAAATCGTTAAAAAAATATTACATACAAAAAAAAACACACTATCGATTAATATAGTAGACACGTGCGAGTGTGTAGTCGAGATCTGACGGTATGTATCGGCTATTTATACTACGAAAAAACTGTAAATAAAAAATTAAAATATCCCATAGTACAGAGGCCCCGAAACTTATATTGAGGTCGAGCCTTGGCCCAAAGTCTGGCTGCTAAACCATATGAAATCTTAATTATAAAATTAAAGTCTAACATCAATATTTTTTAAATAAAAACCATTATCCTCAGCCCCTGGTAGGCCTTTGGAGCCAATATTTAGATGTTGCGGCCTTTTTAAATATTGTTCACCTAATTAGGACTTCAGCGCCACTGCTGTGGTATGATATTATATTTTAAGGAAAACAAAATTGCGTAGCACACATCTGTAAGGATAACGGGAATATAACTTGAGGAAATACTAAAAATAATCTCTTAATAAAACTTATAGGTATAATCTTATTTAATAAATAATCGTAATTCTTATTAATGGGAATGTTCTAATTCGAATGGATCACATTATTGATATTTTTTCTAATTCTAAAAATAGAATTTGTGTTATAAAAACTGTTGTTTTATTTTTATTATAGTTTTGTGAAAGTTATTACCCCCCCTCATCTCACCTTAAGTATCTGGACTTAACACAGTGCCCGTTATTTCACGTCTCCCACAGATGAAAACGAACTTTCGTTGCTTTCGAACGAATCGCGCGCGCACACGTTCGTCAGCAATTGGCACGTCGTTTAAAATAACAGCTCCACACACCGCGCGATAATCATGATTAGTGATTTCTAGTTCTATAAATTATATTTTGTTTAATTAGAGGTACTAAACGATGTTCATTGTACGTAAAAGAAAAAAAAGCTATCGCGGTGACTGTTCGATTTTTCCTAACCTAAAAACCATTTTGTACCGTGAGATTTCTTATACACTCGATCAAGTGTATTTATTTTGAAATATGTCTCAGACTTATAATTTATAAACTTTCCGTATTGTATTTGGAAAATATATATATATATATATATATTTCATATAATATGTAATCGTTCATCCGTATAATCGAATAGTTCATGATACCATTTATACAATTGCACCGCACAATAGTCTTGTACATAAGTAACATTCACCAGTCAAATGTCACATAAAACGCTGTGTGTTAAAATACTTTTACCGATCAATGATAACAATCGTTTCTTTTGAAACAATGATTTTATAGTTTTATTCACGTTAGCAAATTGAAAATATATCGAATCACGCGTCGAATAATGTTTGAGAAAATAGGAACATATTTTATTGAATAGTTTTCAATCGACCTATGCAATTGTATGTATGTTATACCACGTGTGTAGTGGTGAAACGGTAAAGATTTGAATCATATAATAACAAATTAAAAAACGATCCACCACACTCATTATTTATGCATCATAAAATACTATTTTATAATAAAAGTATATATTTATACGGGATTTGTTTTCATTCATTTGGATCTACAATATTTATTTAAGCGTTCAGTTTCAATTCATAATGTACAATATAGACGGGTATTGCTCAAACAACCTTATAGCAGAAATAATGTACTATCACGGGCATGCAATGTTTTGATTTTAGAGAAAAATTAATTTTTTTTTTTAATATACAAATATTATAAATGTAAATATATATGTATATGGAGATATTAAATTGA